GAATTACTGTATTTTAATATTTTGTTGGAAGCCGCAAAGAGTGGCTGGGGAAGCCCACCCAGATGGGCAGGGTCTAAATAATAAATTGTTTTGCTAATGGGGCCTCATGCTGCCGTCGTACGATTTCTGTTCTCATCCTGAAGCAAAGTTCTTAACCCAAGGGACTATTTCTGGGTTAGCGGAGTCTGTAACCTGAAGCGTATGTAACCCGAGGTACCACTGTAATTAGAATAGGAAATATCAATATCAGATCCATCCTTTCTGCACTAAGAAATGCAAACTGACAGACCCTCAGGGAATGAGCTGCTCTTCTCATTCGGCCTGAAACTCAGCCAAGTCTGTGAATATTGTGTTCTTGCTGATAAAGAGTTAACTCCAGCTGTGAAGTGTGGGATTTCCTGCCCATATAAACTCTGTGACACCAGCCTTCTGAATGTCACCTGTAGGATTCATCTGTAGTTGCAGCTTTCATGGAATCCTAGAGTTGAAAGGGACCCCAAGGGTCATCAAGTCCAACCCCCTGCACTGCAGGAGTCTCAGCTAGATCATCCAAGACAGATGGCCATCCAATCTTGGCTTCTTGTATTTCTATATTCATCCCTGAATGCTAAAATAGGCTTCTAAGCAGCGGACAGACGAGAACAAATAGTGTCCAGGATTCACTTAGCTAGCCCCAACAGCATGCCCCCTTGAACCCGTGGAATCTGGCTGTGGGGCACTGGGAAGGATCCTCTTCAGAACAGGACATGAGGAGAGGAGAAAGGGGATCCTTCCATCTGGGAAACTGGAATCCCTGCGTAGGCAGGATGACTTGAAAACCACAAGGAAGAGAACCACCTATTTGCACAAAGATGAATACCCATAATTAAAAGCTGAAAAAAATAATGCAATTAAAACGTCAAAATAGGCATCCATACTACAAATGTGGAGCAAAGCAATCCTATTGAAACAACACAGCAATTAACAGGAAGGAAACAAGAGAACATTGTATAGCAGATCATATTTCTGCTGTCTCAGAGTAGGACATTTCAATTTTTCTTTCAGGGTCCAGTGTGCTTTGAAGATGTAACTGTTTGTTTCACGGACGAGGAGTGGGCGTTTCTGGATCCTGACCAGAGAGCTCTGCATAAGGACGTCATGGAGGAGAATCGTGGGATCGTGGCCTCTCTTGGTAAGGCTCCCTGTGGGATCGTCCTATCTGCCTGGAAATTCAAAAAATACCTCTATGTAACAAACCTCATATATTTTCACAGAGCTTAACAGCGCCCCCCACAACACCTGGGAACCTAACACACCCACAAGAAAGAGTAAATTTCAGTTTTTTCTGTGAACCATCTTCCTCCAGTTCTGCCTTTTTATACCACGATTCGGCTGGTCTGAACTGCCCAGGCCATCTTAAATGTCAGCTTCAGAGTTGTTAGGAAAGATAGGTAGCTCCTGTCAGGTTTTTCATTTCAGCATCCACCTTTAGGAATAGAGGCCACAGTTTTACCTACCTTGATGCGCTGAGAAGCATCCAAGGGCCCAGCAGAGTCTGAAGGATGCTGTTGTGCCCGACAGGATTAAGTAAACTGGGCTCTGTTCTCGGAGGAGTCCCTGGCAAGATGGTCCCCTCTTGGGAGCCATAATTGATGGAGTCAGCTTTTGGCCTCCAGTTGGGAATTGGCACAGATCCATCACTCTGGGGCAGGAGATAATAATAATAATAATAATAATAATAATAATAATAATAATTTATTATTTATACCGCGCCCATCTGGCTGGGTTTCCACAGCCACTCTGGGCATCTTCCAACAGAATATTAAAATACAATAGTCTATTAAACATTAAAGGTTTCCCTAAACAGGGCTGCCTTCAGATGTCTTCTAAAAGATGATGGTCAGCTCATAGATCTGGCCTCATGGACCATTTGTAGCTCGACCCAAATATGCTTTGCCAGTCATCCAGGCACTACGAATGAGCAAGACACACAAAATTTTACCTCATGCCCTCTGAGCCAAGTTACCGTATTTTTCGCTCTATAGGACGCACTTTTTCCCCTCCAAAGATGAAGGGGAAATGTGTGTGCATCCTATGGAGTGAATGCAGGCTCCCTGGCTTCAGCGATAGCAACGCGAAGCCTCCGAAGCCTGCGCTCCGGAGGCGTCGCGTTGCTTTCGCTGAAGCCAGGAGAGTCTGATCTTTGAGGCTGGTGGCAAGTGCTGCTTTCCCCCACCGCCAGTCCCACAGGCTCGTGCGACGCCTTCGCATTGCTCCTGGACCTGGGTGTGCGGCTCCTGCGGGCTTTTGCGGGAGGTGGGGGAGTTCCCCCACCTCCCGCAAAAGCACACGGAAGCTGCACGCTCTTTAAAGGCTGTGCGGCTCCTGCGGGCTTTTCTACGAGGTAGGGGAATTCCCCCACCTCGTAGAAAAGCCCGCAGGAGCCGCGCAGCCTTTAAAGAGCGTGCCGCTCTTGAGGGCTTTTCTCCAAGGAGGGAGAAGGGACTGACTGGCTGAGTCAGTCCCTTCTCCCTCCTGTGGGCTTTTGCGGGAGATGGGGGGATTCCCCCACCTCCCGCAATAGCAGGGAGAAGTTCTGGGAGAAGCGGACAGGCGGCACCCAGAGCTGGGGGGGGAGGGGGGAATCATATATTTTCCCTTGATTTCCCCCTCTGAAAACTAGGTGCGCCCTATGGTCAGGTGCGCCCTATAGAGCGAAAAATACGGTATTCTTGAAGTGGGAATCTTCCTCATGTAGCCAAACCATCCATCCCCATCCATACACAAGAGGGAGTCACTAGGTTTGGGGGAATCCCAAGGTTTTCAGAGGTACATGCAAGTCCCATTAAAAACGGGATTATGATGAGGACTGGATGTCCTCACTGCCCACGGCAGAATATGCTGACCACTGATTTCTCAGTCTGGACAGGTGGGTTTGAGACCCTCAAAATAAAATCTGAACAAAATTGGTGAAGCAGCGAAGAGTTTATTGATTACATAGACATCCTTGCAAGCACGGGTGTCCAAAAGTAGGCACACACAAATTTAGCAAAACACAAGCTACATGCAGTGCAAGTTCTTTCTCCTGTTTCCCCATTGGCTGGGCATGCGCAGGGTTTACAGACTATGGAGGTGCAGGTTAACTCTGTGTCCAGGGCGGCTGTCTACCAGCTCCATCTGGTACGCAGGCTGAGACCCTTCCTGCCCGCGGACTGTCTCTCCAGAGTGGTCCATGCTCTAGTTATCTCCCGCTTGGACTACTGCCATGTGCTCTACGTGGGGCTACCTTTGAAGGTGACTCGGAAACTGCAATTAATGCAGAATGCAGCAGCTAGACTGGTGACTGGGAGCGGCTGCCAGGACCACATAACACCGGTCCTGAGAGATCTGCATTGACTCCCAGTGCATTTCCGAGCACAATTCAAAGTGTTGGTGCTGACCTTTAAAGCCCTGAACGGCCTCGGTCCAGTATACCTGAAGGAGCGTCTCCACCCCCACTGTTCTGCCCGGACGCTGAGGTCCAGCACCGAGGGCCTTCTGGCGGTTCCCTCATTGCGAGAAGTGAGGTTACAGGGAACCAGGCAGAGGGCCTTCTCGGTAGTGGCGCCCAACCTGTGGAACGCCCTCCCTTCAGATGTGAAGGAAATAATCAGCTATCTTTTCTTTAAAAGACATCTGAAGGCAGCCCTGTTTAGGGACGTTTTTAATATTTAATGCTGTATTTGTCAGGACTGGTC